ATGAACTTTGGGCCTAACTACACGGTAGAAGCTAACTTATAAGGTGAGAATTACCCTACACCATGGAGTTAATTCTATTGAAGTGCATAAAATGCTAAAATTCTAAGCTAGCCTTAGTAACCCATAACCAGATCAAGTCTTCACCCATTCCAAAATAAGCAGCTTTCTGAATTCATAGCTTATCAATTAATCCACATGGTAAAAAATTTTCCTTCTACTTCAAAAGCATGATACAAATTAGTACTTTCAACAAAGTACATCTAAGGTGATGAAGCAACTAGCAAGCATACAGAAGGACACTATCTACTTAATCTTTTTTAAAGTAACCACCATGAAACTTCCATGTGCATGAGAAAGTATAGCCAAGGTTGCAGGTACGAATTACGCTTAGACGGGGAAATCGGGCAAATAAAACCCATGTAGTGATTCTTGTAAATACTATCCTGATATTTCCACAAAGCACATCCATCTAAATTGTATATTAGATCAGCATGGGAGCAACTACATACTATCGTAGTAATAGGCTTAGCCCTTCTTCATTCCAAAGGGAAAGAAAAGATCACATTTTTGTGCCTAGAAGCATCTTGGGACTAAAATGGCAGCGCAAAAAGCAGCTTCGTCTGATTCTCATCAACAGCAGGAACAAAAAAATAAAAATAGAAGTATAGATAGGTTAAAAAGAACAGAAAAAAAAGAGGAAAAACCAGATTCAATAAAGGCGCATAAAGGTGAAAACTGAAGTTTTAATTGAGCATGATCATAATTAAAGCAACTTACCACTGTTGCAAAGCATCAGGTAGCAATGATAGTAGGGCAGCATGAAGACTAGTAACAGAATCAAACAAAATAAATCCACCTTCCAATTCACCCATCTTGCCCTACAGTTTACACAGAATATTTAATCAATTAAACAACTTATAAAGACCTAAAAGATAGCGCAAAGCTAGTAAAACTGACTGAAGATAGTGTTCCCTCCAAAAATAACCTACTGACTAATTCATATAAAACTTCTCTCTCTCGAACAATTCATACTAATATAAGAAATACTACTTCATATAAATAGTAAAATGGCATGACGTGTTTTCAACTAATTATTCCATTTTTCTTGACAAAACTATTACTTCAAACATTCTATGACCAAAGTGAATACAGTAATGTGGTTAAACATTTTATTCTTAAAATACAAGTCGGTCAAAACAGGTGATTATTTAATGAAATGAAGGGCGTATGATGTAATCTACTACATTCATACATGGAACTGTTTTCTAATAGGTCATACATGGAACTAGTATTGAGTACATAGTGTTTGCACAAAAATGTTATGTGTCACAAAAAAATGTCAATGTGATGATGCAAGCTTTAGAAAAACATTTGCTTCTCTTACATGTAAAACAATAAAGATCTTGAGTTGAAAAGAAACAGAGTGAGAGGGGTGAAAGACATATTTTCAGAAATAATAGTTTACTATAGGACTTTTTTCGAGTTGAATGTTCAATCATATAGCTTAAGAATATATTTTGAAACTTTATCTCCCACCTTCCAACACAACTGACCATCAACATTCATAGCTCACTCTAAATATAATAAGAGCCATAAGACCCTTTATCATCTATAAGTTAGGAGGGAGGGAAAAAAGAATCAAACAAATAAAAAGTAAGGAATAATTGAGACAATGAAACTTGAGAAAAGAACTGAACCAAATGGCAAAGGATCACAATATTCAGTTTCCAGCAGAGTAATAATCAATAGAGAGATTATGTTATATTTTACCCCTTCAGGGTGGCCCAGTGGTTTGGGCTTGGGACTTCCATATTGGAGGTTCCAATTGAAACCCCTTGCCAGCAAAAGCAAGGGGTTTGCCTTCTAGGTCGAGCTTGCCTAGCAGGTTACCTCTCCTATGTGGTTTGCGAGCCATTGCATAGGAGCGGGGATTTTATCCTGTGCGCTCCCAAAGGGTAGCAGCTACAGGTTTCCTTTTTATATATAAAAAAAAGATCATGTTACATTTTCCTGGCTGCAACTTGCTAACTAGAAATTGGACTTTTCTATATCTAAAACTTCCACTTGTTCTGCCTCTTCACTCTTTAGCTAAAGCTTTTTAAAGTTTTTCTCCTCATTAGGCTGTAATTCTTCAGAAAAAAAAAGTTTGTTTACATTCCTACATGTAGATTTAGACCCGCCAAAGTGAAGTATACAAAAGTAATGTGATGACTAGAAAACCATGTAATGCAGATGGCATCCTTATAGATGTTTAAAAGTACCTCAGAGAGGTAGGATAGGAATAACATAACTAACCATATCCTGTGTCTATTGATGAGTAGAACGTATCAAATGAGTAGAGAAAGAGTACAATAGTTCAGATATGTAAGAAAAAGGACATATTCAAACTTCTATGAACAATCATGATGTTAAACCTATATTCCATATGATGAAAAATTGAGAAAGCATGATACAACATTCATTAATTTAGTGACATCAAAAGGATGACAGAGAAACAATTGGGGTATATGTTTCAAAATTTTACAACAAAGACTACATTTTAGTAGGAAAATTTATAAAAGTCTATGGGAAAGGAAGATGGATTTTCACATAATATTCATTAATCTGGAGAAAGCATATGATAGAAAATCAATAGAAGTTCTTTAGTTAGTACTTGAAATAAACGAATCAATATCAAATACAAAGGATATACAGAAAAGTTTACCATAAAGTAGAGTTGTACACAAGGATTTACCTTGAACCATACCACTTAGTTACACGAGAGTTGATCAGTAGGTCTTCTTTAGTAAGTCTAAAGATTTCATCACTATACACCAAACTGGAGTCAAAAATGCTAGTGGTTCATATGGTTTGACTATGTTGAGTATTAACAAATAAGTTCCATGCACTACTTGCATATGGAAATATATTGATGAAAACAGCAATTGATTTAAATCCATCATTCCAATATGGTGGAGACTTGCATGCCAATGCTCTCACTGTGAGATTTATAGAAATGATAGTTTTAATACCCGTAATTTGCCTAAAATTACAAATTATTTACCAGTTCTGACAGGAAGCTAGTCCCAATTGAACAGAACAAATATAGTGGTTTTATATAACCAACTCAACTAGTTTGGGATTTAGCTCATTGATTGATCTATCGGGATGTAATTCCTCCATCCCAAGATCATCAGTTCATCTATTCCTACATCATAGATCCAACGAAGAATTTCCCTCTATCCCCTGCAAAGACTATCTCAAACTAGAAACAACATAATCCCCATTTAAGCTGAACCCATTCTAACCCATAATCACGCATTGTCAGCTCACCCACTTCCAATCAACCAAACAGAACAACACAAAGATCCTAATTTTTCATCCAATAAATGCTCTATTACCATCAGATACTAAAAAAAAAAATCATCAAAACCCAGTTCTCAACTAAAAAAATAAACTCTATACGAAGCATAAAATCCAACAATACTGCAAAAAAAAAAAAAGAAGTAAAACATACTCTTTGGAAAGAATTGGAATGATCTCGAAAAGAACAAGCTCAAATAGATTGCAGGATAAAGCGAAAACAACACTGAATATGATCTGAACCAGTACTCTCTTCTCTTCATACTCTTTGTACAATCTGCGATTCAAAAACCATAGCCCTGCCCAACCCAGTAAGCATAATGATCCCACTACGATTACTCCCTCGTATGTCGCTCTTCCCCAGCCCATTTGAACAACACTGCTCTGATTTGCTTTACTGGGTTTACATATAAATCTGTGTACTCTTTGTTTTCTTCAGTACAAAGCTATTAAACTCCACATTTCAGCATCAATTATATCTCAATATTCAAACAATAATTGAAGATTCACCATGAATTCACCCACTTCTCTCAAAAACATCAATCTATTGAGATTTGATTTTTGTTCAAATTTATTTGTGTGATACTGATACTGGAAATTATTTTATTTTTTTTGGCTTTTGGAATTAGTTTTTGCCTAAATTTATTTTATAACATTTGTGTTGGTTTAGCAAAACCTTCTTTTATTTATTTAATTTTTTTTAAATTGCTTATTTGAGTTATATTTTTTATTTTTCTAAAGAAAGTAGATTTTCAAATGTTCTGGAAAATCAAATTTAGATGAAGTTTTAAAATTTATTTGGTCGTTAAAATATAATTTAACTTCTCTTGTTATTAAAACATTGAAAACATGACTTATATTCCCAAATTGTAAAATTATCAAACATAGTCACTTGTTGATTTCAAATTATGCAAATGTTTCATTGATAACATTAATTATCATTATTATAAATCATAATCTTGTATATAGATAGTTTGACGTAAAATTATTATTTTTATGATGAATTAGGTAATGTGATATCCTATCAGAATGGCTAGCAACACAATTACTTAGATATTATAATTCGTTAAATATGAACGACTAAAAACGTTATGTATAACAGAAAGTCTCGCCTCATACGATAAAGAAATAATATTAGTAATTACTTTCTATTGAAATTATCACACATGACTATGCAAAGTCAGAAGATATATGCTGGATCCATTAATAAAATGTCCAACTAAAGAAATGATTGATAAATCACTGAAGGGAATAGGATTATGACCGAGAACAATTCTTCATAATGATAGCTCTACTTAATCAACTAGAGATTCCAATATTTAGGTTCAAATAAAGTTACAAATGTAAGTCGCTTTAACGAGAATTAGTATAAAGCTAGTTTTCTTTGCGCTTATAAACTTAGTCAGTGTTTATGATTCCAACGAACACAATGTTTATGATTCCAACGAACACAACAATGAGGATGAGGATCAAGAACGAATAGGGATTGAGTGCCAAAGAAAAGATGCACAAGCTAGTCTATCAGAAGGAGAAAGCGAGGGGGTGAGATTTTAGGTTTCATTATTTATGATTCAAACGAACACAACAATGAGGATCAAGAACGACTAGGGTTAATTGTGCGACATATGTTGCCAAAACATACATCAAAGATAGACAGCTTAAGAATATCAAATTTACCCAACATATTTGGGAAGGCTTTTGCCGAATTCTTCTTCACAAAAGTATACAAAATTCATGTGTAGCATTTCTACTTTATTACAAGAAGCTCAGTGAACATGACTTTTACCAGATTCAGCTTTTTAGGAGAGTTGAAAGTGAACTCCTTAAATATAAAAAGGCTAAAACTTCTAAGGTTATATAGATAAACATAGCTTCTTTTCCAACCTTCTAATGTTATAGACAAATGACAGCTTCTCTTCAGAGAATGTACATGTTGCAATGACCGAAATATGCACGAGCAATATACCATTATATACCAATTTTTACACATGTATGATCTGGTTGAACTGTTGTTGTGTCTGCAAAAGCATCATCTCTTCCACAGAGAACTTCTTATAGAGCAGCCGTTGATGACTCGTGAACTCTAGAAATAAATCTTTTAACTTCTTTGCTCTTTCATAAGCTTCTGATCCTGAATGGACCACCATCAGATCTTTGTCCATTACTAGACACATATCCTACATAAAGACAGGCCACCTCAGGTGGAGTTAGGAAGTTCAATGTTGACAAACTGCAAATTGGAGAAACCACCAGAATTCAAATGCATATGGACTTGGGCAAGATCAAAATTCAACAAAAATGATATTCCATATAAATAACCCAGGGACTTGACCAATAAGTTAAACTTGTTCATGCATGAATTTGATTCAGGATTTGGCAATTTATTCAACAGGTGCCAGTGTGACGTTGCTCTACTTCATTTGATCCAACTAATACCGAGACAAAGCATTTGGTCCGATGTTGAACCTATAACGTGTCTAAATTAGCACAATTTCCTCACAATGATGACCTATATTTCCTAATGTTTTTTCATTTGTAAAATGCTGCCACATCCAGGAAAGGCGGGTCTCCTTTGTGGCCTTACAACAGATTCAAATGTAACTATACAATTATAAGATCTTACCTGAGGTTCGTAGCTTCCTGACCACATCTTAATCATGCCGTGCCTTAAATTTCTTTCAGTTATAACCAATGGCCTGTGGAAGACAAATAAAAAACACATGATTCTCTAGCTAATTTAGAATCTAGACGAAGATGTATGCAGAAGAATGAAAATCTTGATGGTTTGCATTAAAAGCAGCAGGTTCTAGGTTCTACAGGTCTGGCACAAATTTGGAGAGAGGATACTTGAAGATCTTGAAATCCTAAATCACTAGTAAAAACAGTATTAGAAACCAAAGTGGCACCCAAACATGGTATGATGCTTCATTACCACGTAGATATTGTGGAATTGGAGTAAATCAATTTTAGAGACTGAGAATAAAGAAAATCAAAGAGTACATAAATTTCTCAACTGCTTCATAGAATCAGTACGGTGAAATGGGAAAATATTACCAGGACCAATAGTTCATCCATTTGGAGACATGGATTATAGTCACGTTGTCTATTATGTACATTAGATACCCTCTTCATTGGCAGCACATTGAGTCTATCACATTCTAGAACAACTTTGAAAGGTTTTGGGATCTTGAAATACATAAAGTACCAGGAATTCCAGACCCATGGCACAAGGAAGCAGCATTAAACAGGATTGAAGCAAAAGGAAGTTGTGTTCATACCTAGGTACGCTGCTCCTACGCTAATGTATTTTATTTAAGAAACTAATACTGCAGTATCTAAGATAACTAAAATTTCAACTTTATCTACAGATAAGTATGGACATGGTTATCATGAATGCATAATATTCAAGCAATCCTTAATAAACTACTGTTGTTAAGAGGTACCAGAGATGGAAGCAAATGAAACCATGCATTGATTCTAAAAGCATGTTCCAAGAACAGTCACAACTATTTCAAAATATGGTGGACGTGTCTTTTAGAGTTCAAGACTTCAAATACATAAAGATTGTCTTAAACCCGGCCACCTAGAATACATCTATTCTTTTAGGTTTTGGGTGATCGGATCCCCTCTCCCTCCAGGGGCAAAGGAGAGGTATGTATAATATATCAGCCATTATTGAGGTGACTATTTTAATACACCTAATATCAGCCAATCATCACTTAAACCAAAATCAATCAAGATATAGAGAAAGGTTTACATTTTACATACAAGTACACAGATGGCCTATAACAAGGGGTGCAGATAGTTGATATAACAATGGTGTGAAGTTCAAATCACAAGGCAGCAACATGCCATAATACAGTTGTTTTTGCAAAACAAAACGAATATTTAAGAAAAAAGAAGTCATACGATGACATATTGACAGCTTGAGAGAATTCTACATCATTGCCTGCTAACAGAAGGTACCACACCCAGAATATCCAGATGGCAAGACTATATTATCAAGGAAGCTCTCCTGAGCAGATCAGACAAAAAATATCTGTATGTCCTTGTCAAGTTTCATCTACACTAAACATACTGTATGTCCTTGTCAAGTTTCATCTACCTAAACACGATCATTTGTTGAAAAAAATTTGCTTCGAGCTCATAATCTGTCTAGAGGCAAGAAATGAAATTAGAATCTAGTCTCTAAGACCAACTACATAGCAGTATAGGTAGAGAAATATTATAATCTATCACAATTCACAGTCCTTGTTCAAATAGAAATAGTATAGAACAAAGGTATAGGGAAGACTCTAGAGTTTTAGGCCTTTAGCATCAGATGACAAACTATACATGCCAATGAAGATACTACAATGAGAAAGAGATAATAAAAGTTACGCACCAGCTTAAGAAACAACATTCTTGATTAAGAAACTGAATGCATGAGTCATACCTTCCAGTTGAGGACACAATAAGGTGGGCTGGATTATCCAAAAACTGGAGTATCTTCTGACGCTTATCTTCAGAATCTACCACAATAATACCTCTCGCATATGGCATGAACGGACATGGTAAAATGTATGCTTGTGATGGAACAGAAGTATGTTCATATATAAAATCCCTAAACGATGATGGCAATAAGTTTCTCTCAAAGTTCTCAATAAACATATAATGGGAACTTGGGCATTGCCCTCCAAGATCTTTGTCATCTTCCAAAAGCCTGCTATATTTACTGTTTGTTGCTGCAGTTCACAGGGAAGAAGTTAAGAAAAGCTGAAAGTTTTGCATCATAACAAGTGATGGAGTTTCAGAGCAAACCTCCTGTTGTCACAGCAACAATACTCTTGACATTATTTATTCCCTATGGAAACAAGGAAACAGATATGTTTAAGGTTCGTGCATCCTAACCCCAATTTATGAACATTTTACAATGAAAACTTGCCTCAGATGATGAAATCATAGACAAATTACTGCCCCCATTTACACAAGATGATCCTTCAGACGCAGAAACCTCATACCTCGAAGCAGCAATCAACATGCAAGATGATTTTCCAAGATTCCGGTTCACCAATTTCAAGAAGGAAGCTATTTTCGGACCAACTTGAGCAACACCTTTTAGAATACACATGCCTTCAATTCCGGTCTCGGTTAAATATCCTTTCTTTGGACCATGAAACCAGGATATAACAAATGTGCATAAACACTCTTCCTCTCCATTGCAAAATGAATGGTCCACATTGTGTATCTACCAAAGAGAGGAAGGGTCAAATTTGAAGCAATTCAGTAGTTTCTGCTGTCATTTGGCAAGTAACACATATAGTTCATCTTTCTGTTTTCTCAATTATTTTTCAGGCCAAGTAAGCAAAGAAAATTTAAGCCATCATTTATTGATAAAAAGGAGATTAACACACAATTGAACCAAAATATAAAAGAACAAAAAACATATGCCTCAAGAATATGATCCCTTGTCAAGTCCTGCTAATGAAATACAACCAAAGAGAAAGTGGGAACTTGTAGTTGCTGCTTAGCTTGGTTTTCTATTTCTCCAGTGTTAGATCGACACCGGAACATTGCTCAATTTAACAGAATAAGTTGTTAATGACAGTAACAACAAGTGACAGAGACACCATATTTACATGATTAGGTCAATTAGAATTTAGACCTATGTCCATGAGTGGGGAGGAGAAAATATACTTTACCAGAAGATGTATGACTGAGAGTACACAATCAAAGTTAATACTCTACTTACCCCTCACAGAAGTTCAAATTTTCTCCAGATAAAATGCATGTAGAAACACAACTTCAAGTTACATAAATCACAACTTTAGAAACTCAAACTTTCATGTTACAACTTCAAAATCTATGGCCAGACAGAGAGATATCACCCATTTTGAACAAATAAGCAAAACTTTCACGGAAAATGTTTGGTTGAAGAAGTGAATTTTCATCACCATAGCATTCTCACAACAGTTAAACTTATATACAAAAGTAAAACAGAAACAAGCAATTCCGGCGATACACAACTCACCGCTTCAATAACAGCGTCGTAGAACAGCATGTCCTCCCCGCCGAAAGCGTTACATCCAACACAGACAATCATCCCTTCCTTGAGACTACCACATTCGCTGTCCTGCATCTGAGGTGACACAGACCTAAACCTCTTAACCAGCTCATCAACCTCCTCCTTCGACTTGAAATCTCCAGCATGAAAAACCTCGTCATATTCCTGCGTATACCCCTCATACTTCACAGTCATTGTTTGGCCTTTCATTACGAGTCGTACACTATACCATGAGTCATCATCGCTCGCTCTGTACTCCAGATTGTACCTTTTCCGTTTGCGAGAATTCACCATTGCCGGAAAAAAAAACTTTTCCGATCTCCGATGAAAAAGGAGTATTTGAAATTTTGTGAAGTAATGGTTCTGCCAAATTCGTTTTTCATGTGAGAGTGCTTGCAGGAAGACGTGGCGTGTTTCCGTAAGCTTCCAGAAACGACGTAAACGAGGTTGAACGAAGTATTGCTCTTAAATTCTACATTGTTTGATACGGTGATTAATAGTATAATTTATTTTCGATAAAATATTAAATTTCATTAAAGAAAAAATAACAAATAATTTAAGAATTTTTTGTTCAAATTATTTTTAATCTACATTCAGTACTTAATATATATCCTTAGAAAATATCTTTCAAGTATTGAAAAATGAACAATTTTTCATTCTTCTACTTTAGCTTATCAGAAAATTAACAAATCCTACAAAAATTAAGCATTCTTTCGTAATTATTATTCTCCATACATCAAAAATACTACTAAACTGTATTTGCAAGTTTTCCTGCAAAAAGCTCTCCACGCCTACTCTTAGAAAGAACACTATTTTTCTTTAGTTAGATAGTTCTCCCGATCGTAAAATCAAGTTCGTCATTGTCTTACCTGCTTTCCTACAGCCTACTTAAGCCCGGAGGAGAATGCTTGCTATCAGCTTCTATTCGAAAGTGTTACTCATGTTAGTATATAAGCTTCAACCTTCTGGTAATCGCTTATCCCAAGTTAGGTGGGCTTAGATAAGAAATATAGACTAAGGTAAGGTCCGAGAGTAAGATGGCTTTTTTTCCAGCTCTTCTGACTATTCTTTCCGTGATAGCTAGGCAAAGTCCAGATTACATATCGTGAACTTTTTCGGTAATTGAGTTTAGCATTATGCAAGAATATTTAATATGAATTTTATTTTATTTTTTATATAATTTGATACTAAAAGTATTATTAATTGAATATGTTTTTTTTCTCGATTAAATATGCTAGAAGCGATGTTTGTTGAAGAATTTCACTTTTAATTATGTGAAATGAAAAATGCTTCAAAGATTCAAGTTAATTTAGGATAAAGAGAATAATTCTTAAATACTTGTGCGAGTGTAAATTATTTTATTATAAATAAAAAGAATCAAAATAAAATTATACAATTTTTTCTATAATTATTTAATGGGTTTATGATATTTTCTTAATATTAAAGGAAGGAATACACATCAATCATCAATTTTATTTAGTCATGATGACTAAATTACGAAAACTTTAACAAGGTGCAAAAATTGTCAATTTTATTTAGTCATGATGATCAACTTACGAAAAATTTAATACGTTATAAAAATTGTCAATTTTATTTAGTCATGATGACCAAATTACGCAAAAATTAATAAATTGCAAAAATTATCAATTTTATTTAGTCATGATGACCAAATCACGGAAAATTTAATAAGTTGAAAAAATTGTTCTATGTAGACCAAATTCATGCGTATGTATTTTAATGGTCATTTTACTTAAAGTGATTTATACAATAATGTATATCACATCATATTTATATTTATATTTATATTATATTATATTTATTTTTATTATTAAAAATGGAAAGTTCCAAATTAGGCTCTACATCAAATTAAATAAGGGAACTTTCATTCACATATGACCACTAAAAATAGTCTAATTATTTTTCGTAGTTATAGTTTGACAATTACAATTCATAGGTACGTGTTACAGGGAGGACAGAGGCGAGCGAGACTGGAGAGAGAGGTGAGAGAGAAGGGCAAAAAGTAGGAGAGAGGTGAATTGTATATATATATATTGGTTAGATAATTGTATATTATATACATATGTATTTGTATATATAGCAAGCGAGATTGAGAGAGAGAGAGAGGTGAGCGAGAATAGGAGAGGCGAGCAAGAGAGGACAGAGAGTGGAGAGAAGTGAATTGTATATGTATATTGGTTATATAATTATATATTATACATATGTATTTGTAAATATGACAAGCGAGATTGAGAGAGAGAGGTGATCGAGATTAGGAGAGGCGAGCGAGAGACGGCAGAGAGTGGAGAGAGGTGAATTGTATATGTATATTGATTAGATAATTGTATTTTATACATATGTATTTGTATAAAATGCAAGTTAAATTGGGAGAGAGAGGAGAGAGCCGAGTGAGAGAGGTCGGACAGAGGGAGAGGCGAGCGAGAGAGGTCGGAGAGTGGGAGAGACGTGAATTGTATATGAATATTGATTAAATAATTGTACATCATACATATGTATTTGTATTTTCTGTCGAATTATACATATACAAATGTGACTAATTAGGAAAAAAATACATGAATTAGTACATTTTAATAAATAATTACCGATTTTAGCGATACTTTTTATTTATTACCATTTATAGCAATATTATAAATCTGCACTATGTATTAGAAGTGAATTAAGTATGCAATATATATATGAATTATAATTATCTCTTTGACATATATTATATTTATTTGGTAAAAAAATTGACACATTGTACTATAAGTGTATTAAAATGTGAGAAAAATGTATTATCCATCATTAAAACTTGTATTATATTATATGTGAATAATATATTATTCTTTGTAATATGTATTAAACTTGTGTTATAAATTAATTAAAAGTGATCAAGTGAAAACAAAATGTTATTGCTATAAATGGTAAATATTTTTTTATTATAGTATATTTATGTAAGTTTCAAACCCGAAGTAAGCCCACATAATTAATGTATAATATTAGTCGTGAGTGGTAATTACAGCAAGCTATAGCTATGATGAGTAATTAAATAATATATGTTTGCTTAACTGCGTAACTTATAGGATCCTATTAATTATATTAAATTGACTATTTTACCCTTTTACTAAAATTGTACGAATACAATATTTTGTACAAAATTGTAACCATACGTTCTATTAAACATTACCATTCGTAATAAGTGCTTTCTATTAACCAATTTACAAGAATTATGTCTTCCTAACTCTAATCAAAATAGGTAGAATTTAAGGAGTAACAATTAATTATACTGCATTATAGATCAAATTCATCTATTATACAAAAATAAATGTGAAATTTAAATGGTCATTCTACTACTAAAAATGTCTTCTGTTAATTGAATAGTTTCATCTACATTGAATTGGGAGTACTTCTTCATTTGCAGTAGTTATTCTACATTCGATGCCAACTCTTTAATTCATATTTTTAACATTTATTTGTTTATTCCTTTGAGGCGGGAGCGGAGCCACGTAAGCTCTGTCCAATTGAACACCCTTTGTCGAAAATTACGCTATATATACATATAAAATTTTAATTTAATATTGGTATATATATAAAATTTGGATCCTCTGAAATAACTAAGGAGCAGCAGAGTTGGAAATAGATGGGCAATCCTACTCTTTTGCAGTAATTATTTTGACTTCTTGAATTTAATTAAGTAAATAGATGTGCATAATTTTAATATAAACATTTAGTAGCTTGATGGTCAATTGTGTCATGAAATTCTCCGAGAACCCAAATTTGAATCCTTTCCTTTATTATTATTTTTTCAATTAAAATTAAATTATTTGCTTAAATTTTAATACATTTTTAATATCAGCTTGCCAATTACATTATCGATTTACGTGCGACTGACAAAAGATTTTTTAATTTAGATGGACTGGTTGAACTTTCAAGAAAATTGACAGAGTCAAAGAAAAATTTAAGTTATCCACTTATATTTCGTTTAGTGAAATTTGTTTTGCTTTTGTTAGTTGCTACAACCATTGAAAGTGTTTTCTCAGCAATGAAGTATATTAAAAATGACTTGAGAAATCAAATCGATGATAGTTTTAAGACGTTTGTATAGTGTCTTATGTAGAAAAAAAATATTATTAAAAGTTTGAACGCCCTTAATGAAATTCCTGGCTACACTACAGTTTGAGGTTTCATAAAATATACTCCTTCCGTCCATTTTATATCACTTTTTTATTTTGCACTTGCATTAAGAAATGATGTAATTTTACCCTTTTATCCTTTTTTTTTAAATTCAAGTTTTCAATAAATGGATATGAATAAATTTATTTTGATTAATTAATTTAACCAATGAACATGGATCATTTATTTAGTAATTTACAAGGGTAAAAAAGAAACAATATGATAATTTTATACAGCGATTCTAGAAAATGACAAATATTATGAATCAACTATTTATAAAAATGAATGATATATAAAATGAGACGATGAGAGTAATAAATTTCTAAACACATTATAACCTTCTCAAGCTGTACTAGCAATCCCTCCTTAGTATTCTCGGATTCAACAAGTTCTATAAGCGGCATTGCACGTTTAGTGTGTCGTCTTACCCTTCAACATACCTCATCTTCACCCATCGCCACCCAACTTCTCATATTATTTGTCAAGATTATAACACATACTTTTAGAATAATATTTTTTTCTTATGTACCAAACACACAGGAAAAAAGAGAGTAAAAAATACACTTATTGGTGCTAAAAAGAAAGACACATGGCAACATCAAACCGGTCATAACAGTAAGCAAAAAAGTTTGGAGATTACAAATAATCTTGAAACTAATTAAGCTGGAAGGTAGAATAGCAAATTATACACTGAGAGCAGAGATTTTCAGGAAACTCCAACTTGTGTTGTAGAATTGATCATTGAGAAAGTGGCAAACTTTCTTGGAAAACAATTTCAAAAACCAGGAAGAGTCATTCTTTAAGTCATTTGAAAAGGTTCTTAAGTCCATCAAATAAATTCAGAGCCCTCAATTCTCCACTCCTTATGTCCCTCAATCTTCTCCTCAATATCTGGTATCATGTCACAAAAGCTCAGAATTAAAAAGATTGATTAATCACTTTGCAAGACTTTCATCTCCCTTGGTTCACTGCTTTCTTGGGTTTATAAAGGTTATATGATAGCATAAACAATAAATTGAATTACAGCAAGTTAGTATTTATGCAAAACACAAATATATGCCTATCCTACTATGTTTCATTAAAAGATGGCGTCATGAGATCATTAAGCTGTCGCAAATGAAGCAGAGACTGACAGTGCAATCAACTACATGTTATGGAGAGTTATTGGATATTTGGAATGTGAAACAGAGTCTGTACTTACATATTGGCTACGATAGAGTATCCTTCGCTCACTTGTACACAGGTCAACTGCTAGCTGTTTCAGAAACACTCTTCTGTTTAGTTGCTTTGGGTTTGTTACA